TCGCAACTGGAATCTGGACTTCAAGAAGACATTGAGTGACTTTTGGGCTTCCCCTCAAGAGGGAGACTTGATCGGAGGCTGCCATATTTGCATTGAAGAGCTGCAAGTTGCTACTTTGGTCTTCAACATCGATGGAGGATCCGGCGTTGTAACATGGGTGTAGGGAGGCCCTCTTAGTCATGCTAGGACACTTCGTGTAGTGGTAGCCAGGGGTCAGGATCTGTCTCTTATACACATCTAGATGTGTATAAGAGACAGCGCGAGCCCCTCGGGAAAAAAAAAAAAAAAAAAAAAAAAAAAAAAAGAAGAAGAAGAAAAAGAAAAGAAGAAGCAGCAGTGCTACAGCTGAAGAATAAGCACGTTCCTATGCCATCATAGAAACATAATCTAATCGTTCGAAATAAGCCAAAGCTTGTAGATAGGTCTTATATTAATTCCCACGAAGACGGAGGGGGTGAGTTTGGGCGATGAAGGTCTTTGCAGTGTTTTAGTGACAACGGGGCAACGTGATTAACGTAAAGTGGAGGAGGAGGTTATTTTGCTTGGTCTGTTTATCACGAAAGAGGCGGTAGGTGGTGGTTTCATCTTCAAGCTGTTGACGTCACGGGATTTTGTGATACGGATATCACGAGAGGCATCGCATGAGGTCGCTGCCACGTCTCTATTTTGATTTGGAGCTAGAGTATGTGATTGGGGCTGTGTCCTTTGGGTATCACTGTCTGTTTCCTGATTTGTCATGATTTTTTCCCTGATTTTTCCTGAGTTGTGGCTGTTTTTTCTGATATTTTTTCAGAGGTTGTTTTTGAATGATTTCGTTTTTATAATTGTGATTTGTTTAAAATCTGATTCATGGGATCTTAGGTGTTTTTTGGATGTAATTGATCCCTAATCTGAAATTCGTATTTTCTGTTCTGGGGCGAGGTCCCATTAGCAGTCAGATAGGAGTGTGGCTGATCCAGTGTGACACTGAGTGGCAGCGGACAGACAGGTTCATTACGAATTTCTGGGCCGAGAAAACAGGAGAAAGGCAAAAAAAAAAAGAAACAGAGACCTCCCACCGGAAATCACGGCAGAGTGCTTCCCAGCCATCAGATCACAAATGATCTGATGGTGGTGGTTGCAACAACAGTGAACAAAGTAACCGCCACATTTTCTGGAATAAACTTGACTTATGTCAGCACTGATCCTGACACCCTCCATATACTCCGTGATTGAAGGAGGGCTCCACCCAATGAGATAACTGCACAACAACAAGTAAAATACTGAAAATCTTCTATCCAGTGGGCCTAAGGCCAACCCCACCCTCATTTGGGGTTGGCCACACCCCCAACCGATTGAAAAGATTCTGACGGGAAGCTTTCTTTGCACGGGTATGCCCAGTGCTAAGGAGAGGAGGGGAACAAAGATATCCTTACTTTTTTGGGTAATACATGTAAAATACTGACCGTGGGATCGTGAGTACTGCACGACAGGATTTGGGTCCCTCAACTGCCCCACAAACTCGTTTCTATCCTATGTCGTTGCTAGTGGGACCTCGCCCCTGAGCAAGATCCCTAATCTGAAATTCTTATGTTCTTAGCAGAATCCTTAATCTTAAATTTGTATTTTCTTAGCAAGATTCCTAATATGAAATTCGTAAATCAGAGTTTTTCTCTGATCCCCCAATGAATGATTACTAAATTTGGAATTACAAAGGGTTACACCGTTACAAATTGATTTTCTCAAAGTGGAATTGATGTCCTACGTTTATCCATCTTTGATCTAATTTGAAATCCGACGTACTTCTCTATATTTGTGTGCACAAGTTTGGGCTCTTATTTTTTGAATTCGATATTTGATGTCACTTCTTTGAAGGATTTCCAAAAAACTGGTCACAATTGAGTGTCAAGCTGTGATATTGTAGGATTTGGGCTCATAGGTGCTGATTGAATTATCTCCTTCAGGACTTGGAGCCCCTCCCTGCGAGGGTTATACAAGGTGGGAGGTGTGATCCTTGAGAGGGTAGGGGCGGTATTGTGGGTTTGTTCTCTTCTGGGCCAGGCTGATTTGGGTCGGATCAGCCACGGTGGTTGGGAGGGAGGACAAGGGGCCGTGCTGTTTTCAGCAAGGTGAGAGGTTGAGAGGTGTTTCACTCGGAGGGGGTGACACGAGGGAAGGGGGATCTTCAGCTCTGCGGGGGCATGCTCTAGGGGGTATTGGATGCTGTTCTGAACTGGGGCTGTTCTGAACTGGGGCTGGGAGGTGAGGGGGCGCCATCCAGCGGTGAAAGGACAGGTGTTTTGTTTTTTTTGGGGGGAGGAGTAATCCGCGCGGTTTCTTCTGAGCCTTTTACATTCAGCAGAGATGTGAATAGGCGCGGGAATTTCCATGGGGAGGGAAGTACCCTCCCGTCCTAAAAAAAAAATAAAAAATAGTTCCCTCCCGTCCTCTCTCCTTATGGGAAGAATAGGTGTTGACTGTCTTTTTAGGTTACGATTCCTGCACTTGTATTTGAGTTCCCTGAATTCTTGTGATTTGTGAGGTTGTAATAAAGAAAATTTTCATAATTTTGATGCTGGTTGCAGCGGACTGTCTTTGTGGAGATGGTTGGAGATAATGCGCTTTGCGGCAAAAGGGCTACCGGTAACCGGTAGGACGTAAATAGGGTACAGCAGTGGTGGAGATGGTAGCTCTACCGCAGTAAGTCTTGCCGGAGTAACGTTGAGATGCTTTTTTGGGTTGGATATCTGCAGCCAATGCTTGAAAGAGTGGATGAACGGAATTACAGCTATGGCGACAATTGGTGGCTTGTCTGGTATCTGCTGATGTCCTAGGTCCCAGTGGTTTACGAATGGACGAGGTCAGAACGACGCTGGTCGGTGCTGGGGCTTGGTCACGCTGCCCTGTAACCTGAGCGGCACGGGGCATGAGACCTGGTAGAGAGACCTGGGGAGTTGTCGAGGGTGGACGGCACTCTAGTGTCTAGTAGAGAAGTGGTACTTAGTCGACGCTGGCCGGAGCCGGGGCGGGTCGCTTTGCCTTGTAGCCTAGCAGGTGGGGGGTTTCTGATGTGGGTCGTGCCACTCTGTAACCTAGCAGTTGGGGTTGGTAGACATTGGGTATAGGGGTATAGGGGAGAGGCGGATAGGGTTAAGCTGCTGACAGTTGCTAAAGGCAGGTGGTTTTCGGTCTGAATATTCCCATGATCAATCCCTAAAGATCCTAAATCTCTGTGTAGAATGCATAGCTATCATCTTTAGCCAAAGCCGGGTAATGGCCCTGGTAACTCAAAAGTTTTTACGTAATCTTCTCAATATGTTTTTGAATGGGACGCTG